GGTTTCTGATTACCAAAAGTTTATTGTAATATCTTCATATATTGAACTAAGATTATTTGTTTGTAACTAAGCTCAAAGCTACACAATGGGCTATCTGTGCTCTGCCCACTACGGGTATCAAAACCCGTATTCTCGCGTTGTAATTCCGCAGACATACCGCTGTACCACTGGGGAGGGGGGGGGCTTGAACTAACAGAGAATAATTGCTTTTCTAATGTCCAAATTGACAACTAAAATCATATAACTTCCGGGTGAAAACATTATATTTTGCAAAATAAATTCAGTCGAAAGACCTCTTGCCAGTTTTATTACAACTTGTCAAAAGCTATTTGGTGTTGTCGCAAAACAGTAACACGCAGTTGGTATGTTTGATACGTCCACAGAGATGACTTTGCTTAGGGTTTGTTTTACCTCGTCGTTTAGCCTGAGCATTGCATTAAGTCTGCCCCCCCCCCCCCCAGTGGCACAGCGGTATGTCTGCGAACTTACAACCCTAGAATCCGAGTTTTTATACCCGTAGTGGGCAGAGTACAGATAGCCCATTGTTGAACCTACCAATATTATTCATAGCTCTATAAAAAATGGAAGATAACTTTGTTAAATTCGTAAAATATTCAGCTTTTTTGGTAACAAATAATGCCTTGTAATTGTAGTTTTCAAACAATACCGTGTTATAGTATGCAAAATAAGTAAAATAATTACTAGAAATTATTTTAATTGAATAAAACAGACGAAATAGAGTATACTATAAAAATAATCAGTTATACAACTTACAATAGCGAATAAAAAGTAAAACTAACGGTCGCACAATATATCAAAATTACTCATTATTGCCATTATTGGTAATTTATGAATATTTAAATAAATTAAACGTTTTGTATACAGATAATTGAAAATCAATCTTTTCTGTTCAAAATGAAAATTGTATTGTATTAAGCTATCTAGTTTTAAATATTTTGAAAGTTTATTTAATATAAATTTTCGCTATCTCTTTTGTTTAGGTCCTCAGTGGCTCCGCGGTATGTCTTAAGGCTTATAACGCTAAAAATCGGGTTTCAATACCCTTGGTGGGCACAGCACAGATAGCCCATTGTGTAGCTTACCAACAAACACACAAGCAAACTCTTGTTTCTCTTCACTTTACGTCCTCTTTTTCTTTTTGTGCTAAAAAGCTGTCAATAGATGGTGCGACTATCACTATAAATTCTGTAGCAGATAATGGTTATACATGATTAATTCTCAAATATGTTTTCATATTAATTTTAAATGAGTCGTAAGTTTTGCATATGAAAGTTAATACAAAACCTTTCATAAACTTAACACTCTTAATTCCTTTAACGTTGTTTTGTGACTCTTAATTTATACTTGTAAGTTCTAACTAAACACTCAGAACAACGTTTATAAACTCTTACTACATATTCTATGTCATACTTACCTAACACTCGGGATGCCATGGTGAACATGGCAGCTTCTCTGGGGAGGGGCTCATTCGTTGTACTTTGGGTAGTTTGACCTCTGCCACTATCCCATAGTGGGTCACATGGAGTTTGTGATTGCTGATAGTGGGGGACTGCGTTCTCTGTAGAAAGAACGAAAGAAAAGATTAATGAATTAAATTAACTATGACTATTTAGATAAACTTCAAAAAATTATTAGTAGTGCTAAATTTTTCAGGTGCTTGCTTAAGACTGTGGATCGTTAAGACTATACTCTAGAAAAATTAGTATAAATTAAAGAAAATTAGTTGTCTGGTTAAGAAATGGTTGGAGAACAGTCAGATTCTATGTTTTCAAGACTTTTCAACACCTCAACCGTCCAAGCTAGAAACAATGTAACAAATATAAGTAAAGTTAGCCTCATAGCAATCACTCAGTTGGATAAAGAGTTACACTATAATATTACTTTTTTGGCACACAAAGACTTTTTTAAAAAAAGTGCATAATGTGTGTAATAAGCAGTTAACAAGTTAACACAAACTATACATTGAAATCAAGTAAAGAAGTCGAGAACTTCTGGAATACCTATAGTGTTCAGGCATATTAACTGTTTATCTATCCTTTTTATTAGTTTTTTTATTTTCAGATTTTTGCCCATACAGTGTATGTAGTTTTCACATAGAACATTGACCACGGAAGTAGCTAAATTCCTTTCGCTCAAGTTAACTATTCTTCTTGGACATTCACTTATGGTATCACGGGTGCTTTCCTGTGTGAAAGGTTTATGTAAAGGGGCACATAGTATTCAAAAATATATACGACGTAAATATATATATCAATGGATTCCACTGGGGGGGCCCGTGATACTGCATCCCTTATTTTCTTATGGGAATGAATAATGCTGATGTGGGAAGCACAACTTCCCTGAGAATAATAGGTTTATTGTTTGATGTATATAATGTATTACTTTCTCAGACTGGAACACATTTCTTTCTCTGGAGTTCAACAAATTCTTCTTCTTCCTCAACAGTGATCTCTGGAAGCATCAATAAAGGTACCATTCTTAGTAAACAGACTCATTTTGATTGTTTTATGCATTGAATAAAGATTTTTTTTCACATTATCCAGTATCTTTCTTTGCCCACGACTCAATCAAAATGAGGGAATCCATATTTACTCCGTGATACTTTTCCTGATCGAACTTCATGTTATTCTGCGAAATCCTATCAGAATACTTTTGAGTGAACCTGAGAATACTACATACAAAAAAAATAAATAAAAGAATAACCAATGAAACTTTATACAAGGGCTCAACGGGCCGGCTGGGATACGACATACGTTGTAGTGGTCGAGGGGCGATACATATATCATCAATTTCATTACAACTACTGTTATGATGTGAACAAAATTAAGTAAGGGAATTGTGATTATAATCAATTTTATTTGTGTCATTTACAAACCAGAATTATGATAAGGATTAATAACGAAATATTATTTAGTTATTTTTATATTTTTAACTCCGATAATTATATTTCAGATAACTTTACTATTATTAAAAAAAAACTGGCGAACCAACAACCTAGTCTTCTTGTTCCGGAGTGGGTCAGGCAACCAGGGCGTCAACGGAAGGAAACTGCTTTAGTAATTATAATAACTTATTAGCAAAAGCAAGAGTATGTAATAATATGTCAACCACACTACACCTTCTATACTCAATGCCAACGGGTCTTTTCGCCCAATTTCGAGGCAAGTTGAGATTCGACAGATATATTACCTTTGTTTGTTATTAAGCTCAAATCTACACAATAGGCTACATGATCTGTGCCACCGCGAGTATCGAAATCCGATTTTTAGCGTTATAAGCTCTCGGCTTTACCACTGAGCCACCAGGGGACAGACGTAGTAGTGGTCGATGTGCTATTTATATTACTAATTTTTTTGACCAATTTTTGTTTTAGTGTAAACTAAATTAAGCAAGGAAGTGTAATTATTAACAGTTTTATTTAAGCCATTTACAAATCCAAGTGAGGATAAGGATTAATAACACAGTATGGATATGGCAGACATAGTGTGGTTTAAACAGTATTATACACTCCTTTTCTTATTTTTGAAAAAGCCTTAAAACTTAATAACGTATGTAGTGTTCAACTATAAATAGTGAGGTAATATCAGTATTTTATTACTAAAAAGACTAAGTTTTACTTCAGTGCAATTGTATTTAAAATCCAATAAGAAATAAGTTTTGCATTTTCAACTGAAATTAATATTTTATTTTCAAAAAGTTGCAATTGGCGTTACTGTATCAAGATTATGTTAACTAACTTAGAGCTGTCCCAAAATGCTTACTAATTTGGGGTAATATTGTTTTAAATAATAATATGGCATATGGAAAAATCTTCATTCTGGAGATTAAAGTGTTCATGACTAGTTTTTGTAAATGCTATAATAAAGCATTCGCATTTCAGTTTTTTGTGATCATAAAATAATTTTGATACAATATATTTTTCGTATGTCATATTACAGCTTCAATAACGCACTTATGTCATATTACAGCTTTAATACCACGATCAAGATTATTTAACCTAATCTTGTTACGATCAATTGCTGCTTCTTTTACACAAAATCAATTCTCTACTTGAATTATTGTTTATTATTGGATTTCAAAAACAGTTGCATCAGAAGTACCTAAATACGACTTTTTGATTTCGATTTGTGTGACGGGACTGGCGGCTAGGGCACTCGACAGCAATCTGCGAGTCGCCAGCTTTCGGCAGTTAAGCCTTAACTTTTAAAGTATTATAGTGCATATATGAATTATTATTATTATTTTTTTACACTCGTCTTTAGTTTTGGAACTACGTGCTTTGCTGATACCTTACAACATTTAACCTCCTACTCGTACAAAGGAGCTATATCATAGAATCATTTTTCCTCTTATTATTTTTCAACTCCCACAAACTTTCCACTATATATGTTGAATGATATTATTTTCTCACTTTTTCAAAATGTCACATTTGTCTGAACAAGAATGTTCATCCTCCAAAGAAAGTTGTCACTGCTGATCATCTCTTAAAAACTGTATGTTATGCCTCTTCCAGTGGATGATCCTAATCATGTGGACATCCCAATGCGCAATTAATCCTGATAGCTGAATTATTATTTTCTTGCTTTCTACCTTTCTCCGATTGTTTTGTCTGTGACACACAAATATATTTCATTTCCAAATTATAACGTCGTCCACACGCCTATCCTTATAAATGTATACACCTACCCGTCCATTATGCTCTATCCATCATCGGTTTCATCACATATCTGGTTGGAATGTAATGACAAAAAAAATTGTCTCTCATCTTCCAGCCCAACTGATGAAATCTGTTATTTAATGAAAGGCCTCTTGAGCGGTGACTTGCGAGAGACAAAAAATTGACCTGAAATACTATTTTTACACGCCTCTGATTTTGAATCAGTAATGGAGGAATGTGGAAAACAGCAACAACAAATCTTTAGTTAATGTGATATTTACTAAATATTATAGGCCTGTTACATCAAATTAGCCAAAGTATTTCAAAATCAGATCCTTAGTAATGGTTATCACTTATAAAATATTAATTACAGTGAAAAATATAACATGCAGTATTTGAGATGGTAAAGATATGTAGTTTACTGTTGTAGCAAAACAGTATGTTTGATATGTCTACACAGGTGACAGCCTTGTAGTTAGTATATTGGGATGAAGATTTGAAGGTCCAAAGTTTAAGCCCTGCCATACTATTGAACCTGATCGACATTTTCAGCTGTAATCGTTATAAGTCTAGTACGGGGATGTGCTATATATATGTTTTCCATCACTTTAATTAAAAAAGTTAAACTTTTATAAAATGTTGCTGTTTTTCATATATATAGTTCCTCGCTTGAGCACAGAGAGGCGCTCAAGTGAGTTACTAACTTTAACTTTATCCATGTGGCAAGGGTGAAGGCTAAAGCTTACTTATCTGATTCTCTTAGAGGAGTAATAAGGTTGTATTTAATAAGTGAGCTGAGTTATTCTTGTCGACGAATCAGATAACAGTTAAGATAGACTCACCCTTATTTTGCACCGCCTATTGGCTAGTTGGTATAACGAGGACCAATCACTGTTTAGGTGTGTTAGAAACTTGAGTGTTTATGGACATATTGAAGGCAGTGTTTGGGCTTGATAGAGTATGATTTTACAGAAATTTCACACAAATATTCACACTTACCTTTACCCTATCTTAGTTTCATAGTTCCTTTGCTGCTATGCTGTAAGTATTTAGCTGAAACCAAAAGCGCGGGAAATGGGGTACTGCTGTAGAGAGAAGTTCTATGCCGCCAGTCGTTCTCGTTAAATTTTATTATTGCTAGTAATAAGTTTAAACTCGTGTTTCTCAGTTTCTTCATTTCTTGTCGCTGTGTCTTATTCCGTATAGATCTCACTTGGTCTGGTCTGTGCATATGATTATGAAATGTACAAAAATAACTATATATATTCTATCTAACCCATAGAGATTCGTTAGTGAAAATAACAGATAAAATATAAAGTTATTCTTTATGAAATGTTTGATAACTTTCTCGACATTATAAAGATTTTGCATGTAAAATTTGAAAATGTTTTGATACATAAAAATATTTTAAATCTTAAAATGAAAATTACTTTGCATGTTGGATAGGTAACGTGTTTGTTTGTTTTGAATTTCGCGCAAAGCTACACGAATGTTACCTGCACTAGCCGTCCCTAATTTAGCAGCGTAAGACTAGAGGGAAGGCAGCTAGTCATCACCACTCACCGCCAACTCTTTTACCAATGAATAGTGGGATTGACCGTCATATTATAACGCCCCATAGCTGAAAGGGCGAGCATGTTTGGTGTGATGGGGATTCGAACCCGCAGATTGTGAGTCGAGTGCCTTAACCACCTGGCCAGGTAACATGTGAAAAGAAAAAAAAATGGTATGAGAAAAATATTGCTTAACAAACTTTAAGAATTAATTTTAAAAAATATTTTTCATGAGAAAGCATTGTAATGTTAGCTGATAATCTGACAAATTTCGCTAACATTTGCATACTAATTTAAACGTTATAGCATGAAAGCTATAATAAACACAAAATGGTTACGAGGTCGGTCCGAGCCAGTGCCTAAAGGGTTAATCCTTTTAACCTGGATGCTATACGATACTGCAATATCATCTCTAGCAGAATAGATTATTAAGAGCAAAGCAACTAGAATAAGGTAAATTCAACGACTTTCTGGACGGTGGGTTTATGCTAAAACAAGCTAAATAGACAAAAAAATGTAAACATTCCTATATCACTAAAGTATGTAGAAAATATATGCTTGTGTATCACAACTATAAGCTGGAAAGGTTACAGACAGGTTTTGCAATTTTTTTTTAATATTGATGTACAAAACATGAAAGTTAAATAAAGTACAATATTATGAAAAATCTTGTAGATAAGATTCTCGGTTATTCAGCTCCACTTATTAAAAAAACAATACTAATAACAGTTTTCTTTAAAAGAAAATCTGAGGATAACTCAACAGCACAATACTTATTTGACACCGTAAAATCCTCTGCTGGCCAAGTTAAAGTCGTCTGAATGTAACAACTGACCAATACCGTGAGAGAGAGCAAAGGTCACGAGGTGATTTTGTCGAATGGACAAAGTAACCAAGCTCACCTGTTGAATTCAGGCGAACTTTCTTGCTTCAGTTCTACCTGGTTTTTGGAATAAAGACTAATTTTATGATAATCCAGAGAGAGTGAAGGCTGTGGAACTTAGCACAATCCAATAGAAGCGACTGTGGTAATATCTGTACAAGCACATATGCTGCATTTTCTTTTTGTTTGTTTTGAATTTCGCGCAAAGGTACACGAGGGCTATCTGCGCTAGCCGTCCCTAATTTAGCAGTGTAAG